AAAGAATACTGTCAATGGGCCGGCCAGAACGGATGCTAATTCTTTGAGCAATCTGGGATGGAAGCCGTCTGGTCCACATGACTTGTTGGGATTTTGAGCTACCAGGCGCTTGAGAACCTCTTCTTCGTGTATTTCAAAACATGTTAACTTCGAGCCGACTGGGCGCTCCTCAATATCTGGAATACTGTTCAAGCTGTCTCTTATACACATTGGTATCCAAGATACTTTACTGGTCTACTTATAGGACTCAAAAATGAACTTGAGGAAGAGTCTAAAAAACTCTCTGCTTTGCCACTATGTCTAAGTCTATAAAGCCCCTTGCCTAAACTGGGTTTAATTGGTTATTGGTAGCCTACCCAACAGTCTAACAGCTCTGAGAGTTAAAATCTGAAACACAGACAGAACACACTGTTACACACACACACACACACACGGAAAAAGAAAAAAAAACAAGAAAAAAACTAAAAATAACAGAAAAAAAATAATAATAAAATTAAATAATAATAAATAAATATAAATAATACATTTTTAATGCAAAATTAAACATAGATAAATAATAAGGATAAAAGTATTGAATGAAATAAATATTAAGGAAAAACAAACAACAAAACAGCAAACAACAAAATAACAAAACAAAGAAAATACAAAAATTATAAATTAATAAGAAATAAATAAATAAATTATAGTACAAAAGAACAATAAAATATGAATGCGAGGGCGGCGTTAGAAACAGGACGGATTTGAACTCCACGGGTGAAGCAAGGACCGGACAGCTGTCGTTGACAACAGTTTTCCGGAGTCCGGACAACTCTCATATACAAAAAAAAATATGGAAACTCTATGATTTCTGAAAATATTTGATGATTGCCTATCAAATAGCTGCGTCGAAAAAAAACTTTCGTTTTAGACCCGTGCATGACAGTTATGGGAAAATCATATGTTTATCAATGTTTTAACATAACATAACATAGTGATGTCGGCTCTGAAGTGTAGGCCTGATGTGGCCTGTCGCCGATTCTTTTCCATTTCGTGCCTTGTTCATAGATCACGCTGGATACTACTTCTGGCAGATCATTTATAAAAGCAACGAACAAAATAGGCCCCAGGACGCTTCCTTGTGGCACGCCACTGCGCACTGATGCCCAGTCTGACACGGTTCCCATAATACTGACACGTTGTCGTCTACCTACTAGAAAATCTCTGATCCATTGGAGTACGTTTCCCTCAATCCCCAAGGACTTCACTTTACGCAACAGCCGCTCATGCAGAACACTGTCAAATGCTTTGGCAAAATCGAGGTACAATGCATCCACTGGCTCCCTTTCGTCCAGCAGACCAGTCCAATCGTCCAACGTAGATAATAAGTTAGTGGTGCAGGATCTGCCGGCAATAAAACCATGTTGACAATCTGATATGAGATGGTGAGCAGTCAGGTGATCGATAATCCTATCCCTCACAACAGATTCCATCAGCTTACAAACAACACTTGTCAGACTGACAGGGCGATAGTTGCCGGGGCTGCTTTTGTCACCTTTTTTGAACAATGGTGTTACTTGAGCATGAACTTTTATTTAGAGTTGCGTGGATATTTCTAGTCAAACTTCAGCAATGAATAAATTGTAATTATTTTAGTATATGTACTGCTGGTCAGTAGAGCCTCGTACGTGACCGAGGTCATCAGGTCGTTTTTAATCCATTTCTTTCTTTCACAGCAGAAAATCTATTGCTAAATCCTCAGTTGTCTTCCTCTTCATCCCGTCTATCTCGCAGGTAAAGTTATCCACTGTTTTCGTGGTGCAGATTTGCAACTATCACTCTTCCTGGGCGCTGCATTAGGTTTGCTTAGATTTTCAGCATTGCATTACTGTGTGAAAATTATTCTACAATAAAAAAATCGTGTGTATAACTTTTATTGAAAATTTACCAGAACCAATCAAAACAATCGTAAGATTTAACAAATGAAGAGATATTTTGTTTTGAAAACAATTAAGTGAACTTACTTGCAAATCAAAGTGTAGTCGCAGTAAGTCTACATAGCTGCGTGGTACACGTCGTGCAGGTAAGGCAGGGAAAAAGTAGCGTTATCTTCAGCATGATAACGGATCTCGTACAAGAGTTTGGGTCACAGTGAGGTGTAGGGAATAAGATTGATATATATGAATGTTTATATCTCTGAATATCTGCGATGACGCTTAATAAAGTATAGTTCAACATGTTTAGTAGTATTTGATCCTCTGCTATTCAGAAACGCCGTGTTTACTTTAGTCACCCACCCGCTCACGTACAAAAAATATGTTTGTGTCATCATAATATCACATCCATTTTCAATATAAATTTCATGAACGTAATTTAATTTCGTATAATTTCGCTTAACTTTCATGCACTCCTTTTGCTTCGTGCATCGCCGCTTTGAAACAAAAGATTATCGTAGATAAGATAAGAGCGACAGACAACAGACAGATAAGAGCGATAACTACAAGTTTGATAGGGCCAAATGCAACCACTGATCAGTCTGCCGTCTAATATTACGAGGTAAAGTGTCTATTGGAATTGCGCATAATAATCGTAATAACTGTGATATAAATTCCATCAAAAATGTGTTATCTGGTGTCTTCTTATATAGATAAGGAAAAAAATTTTTGTCACGTTTTACCATACTTTTTGGGCTTGGGTACAGTAGATGTTCATCTTTTCTACATTCAAGAAGATCGTACAGGCTCCGCGTATGACAATGAAAATTCGACTAAGATTTTTCATAAACATAATTTTAGCCTTACAATTCACAACGATCCTGATGAATCTAAATTTAATGAAATTCTAGATGAAATAAGAAGAGATAAAAATCTTGATGGCACAAGTGGACTATTTTTACTTTTTTCTAGTTATGGTTGTGGACGTAATAATTTCCGCTTAGCGGATGGGAAAATTATCAATATCATGGATATCATAACTAAATTTAATGATACTAATTGTGCAATTATGAAGGGAAAACCTAAGATCTTCAAGTGCATCTCCTCCGGATTAGATGAGACAGACTTGCCTTCAGTTCCTCGTCGTCCTTATGATCCAGATTGCAATGATATGTTCGTAGCTTATTACTGCAGGGAACGCCGTTGGTCGCCTCGAAATCCAAATAACGTAAATTGGTTAATTCCAGCTTTTTGTGAAGTCCCGCAAGAATTGGACGAAGTTACCATGGCAGATGAAATATTTGCTCTTTCTAAAATTATAAAACCAGTAAGCCTATCGTTTTTCAGTGAATATCAACTACATCTTTATGAATCACTTGTCCAAGTCTGCAATTTGTACAAGGTCTCACTCGACGCACTCATAGATCTCCCCGAGTGCAATTTAATGCGCTGTTGTTCGCTTTTTTATCCTATTATTGGTATGGACGAAGCTCTTAAGCTAGCAGGTATTTCTAACAAGCAGAAAACCATACGAAATAATATCATATATAAGATTCTGAATGAAACCCAGATTATGCGAAATGATTATGCGCCCAGATTATGCAAAATTCCCCCTAAGATTGTTTATGTTCATTCTCTAATGAAATTTATTATAAATTTAATGAAATTAGACCAACGTGAAGAATTTTGTTTCAATTGGAATGATATCCTTCAAGAAAGGTATGATCTTCTTGCGATCGAAAGACAATTTATAGATATTCAAATTACAAAGCTATGGAATTCGTTGCCAGCTTCTTTTCAGTATCAAATGTCTGATAAGGTATTTCGAGATGAATTGAAAAAATACTTGAATATTTTGTTAAATAATTAATTTTTCATATGCTCAGTTATATCATTGAAATTATATGTAATTTTAGAACTGATTACACCACACTTCAAATTTTATTAAAGATTTCTCTAAGAAACGTACAAATTTTAGTAGCCTTCGTGTCATAGGTATAATTTAATTTTACTTATTATTTCAACGGTACTAAATTTAGTGAGATAACAGATACGATCGATCACTACAAGTTTGAAAAGCTCGAGTGCGTGTAATATTACAATTTAATGGCTATATGACAATGTACGTTTGATGATTGATGGAATTTGTATCACAAGTTAACACAATTATTATCCGCCTTTCTGTATGATACTATGCCTTCTGGTGGAGTTATGTCCATCACACGACTATATTTATATATATGTATATTGCACAACATGTGTATATATATACGTCAAGAGTGTCACCAAGCCATCAGTGTTATCAGTCGTGAAATACGTATAACACTGCTGCGCATGTCGCGAGGCCGTTGGGTTCGTCGATATCTAACTTTAACGGTCGTGAAATATCTAAATTCATCGAGGCAGCTACGACTCCTGTAAGCACTACTTTGGCATATTTGAGTACGGTCAACTTCAACACTACGGTTGTGACTCAGCCGTGAGACAACGCGAGAGGCCACGAGATGTCCAACGACTATAACGCAGGCAATTAGAAGATTCAAGTTTCGAGCACTGCGCAAGAATTATATCATCGGTACGGTCATCAGTATCGGTACGGTCGCTACCACCTGCCGCAGAAGCACCGCAAGGATCCGGAGTAATATCATCGACGATGAAGACTACTCCACTATTCAGAAGTACGGTCGTTGTAAAACAATCTACGGCTATACTGGCCGCGAGACATCTATATCAGCAAGACACGACGGTTATGAAGAACAGCGACCACGAGTAGGCGCGGCTACAGCTGCAGTACGGCCACTTGGAATACGGCTGCAAACGTGCACGTTAGGTACTGTAGTTGCGGGAGTCGTACCATTCTACGGGAGCGTTCTACGGTTCAACGTTTTCTGGTAAAAGTAGAACATTTTAATGATGTTAACTGTTAGATTTTGTACTTTGATTGTGTTCAGATTACCTTTTTCATGTACTATCGTAGCGAATTTTGTTCCCAATTTAATATGAAATAAACCAGTGTTTCATTACAACCCTCTTTCTCTACGATTTTTGCCGTAACCTATTCATGCTAAAACTGACATAGGCGCCAGTAAGCCACTTCGGCAACCAACCTGACAAACGATAAATAATAAAAATTTTGAACCATAACGTAACGTAAAACTGAAAGAGCAATCACCCCAATTGTTCAACGTAAAAATATTAGGCGATAGAAAAACTCTTCGCCATTCACAGTAACTCATGTCCTTGCACTTAGATCTTAATTTAACGTTTCTATTGTTCATCCTTTATAATGATCAATGTTTAAAATAATTGTTTGAAGGATACGTGCAGGGCACTCACAGAAATTATAGGATCACTTTTCCCAAACGATGCACTTCTCAGCTTTAATTGACCCACTCCGTTAACTTTTTCTCGAAAAGAGCCATGAACATATACTTTTTGAGAACGCATTCATTTTATGTTTAAAGTTTTGGACATTTCTCTGAGTGTAGGAGTGGCTATTAGTAGATATGGGCAAAAAACCTATAAGTTTAAACACATTAAATGGCAATGGGCATAAAAAATATCATATATATATATATATTAATGAAGCATGAAAAATATAAAACAAATATAATTATCCTCGTCAAAGATGGACCAGAAAGTGGTCTACTTTAGTGATCTAATTCGCCACTCCATGGGCTCATAAATGTAGTATTAAAAATCTAAAATAACCACTGTTATTGCCACATAGTGTACCCATGAACGTACCCATGAACGTTACCATTAACGTTCATATTAACGTACCCATTAACGTTAACATGTTTAAAGCCGACCACCTTAAAAATTGATGGTCCGCAATTTTTGCGCATACCTGCTTACAGGAGTGTTGGGAGGCCACTTTAATTTTTTAAGTAACAACGCTTTGAATGACCTAGAAAATTTGCTGTCAAGATGCAAACTATCGTCGTGCTAGGACATGAGATGCTGTTATTGTGTTATATTTAACAAGAATATCTATGTTTTGCATCACAGACATATGTTTTACCCACAAGCACTCCTATACACGTGGTGTCAGGTTACGTGTATAGTGATCGAAAAGAGTTACGTATCGAAAAGATTGTATAGACATTAGTCTATACACTCTTTTTTAATCACAGCTAACAGTTCACTTCTTTTGTTCAAAACAGAATCCGCGTTCGTATAAAAACATTTTAAAACTTCTTGTGCACACTCACTTTGATGCAAGCGCCTCTTGCAAGGATAAGCTCCTGACATGTCATTGCGATCTTGATCCCGAGGAACTAAAGGTAATTCTGTCTCATTAAATTTTCCGCTGCAGACGAAGCCAACAATGAATTTAGGTTTTTCCTTCATCATTGGACAGTTGTTATCACTGAATTTAATCATGATATCCATGATATTGACGCTTTTACCATCCGCCAGGAGAAAAGTATTATATCCGCAACCTTACATGCGAAAATTGAATTCAAGGTCCGGGTAGGATCAAGATTTTTATCTTTGCTTTTTTCATCAAGAGTTTTATAGAAATCCGATTCAGAGGATCGTTGTAAATTTCATACTTCCAATTCAGTTTTTCACAAGTCTGAATTACCTTGTCATTTTCCTTCGCGGAACCTGGATGATCTATTAGAAAGTTGAAAAAATGTACAGATAGCTTGCCTAAGCCCAATAGGTATGCTAAAGATGTATTTTTACCCAAATCTTTACGGAAACACACCGGATGATCCATTGCAGAGTCAGAAGGAACTTTTATCCAAGTTATTACGATTATTATGATCCGTTTTAATAGTCAACTCACTTCGTTGCCGACAGATTCTAATATGAGACGGTAGACTGAAACTTTGGTTGCATTTGGTCTTATCGAACTTGCTATTATCGATCTTATCTGTTATCTTTTCTTTCAAGGCGGCGATGCACGAAGAGTAAAAAGTGTATCAAAGTTGAACGATATTATATGAAATTAGGTTAAATTTCGAAATATGTATTAAAAATAGATGTGATATTATGAAAACGCATACCCACATATTTTAGTGTATATGATCGGGTGGGTGACAAAAGTAAACACGACGTTTTATATAGTGGAAGATTGAATGCCTTGAAACATGTAGATCTATACTTTATTAAGCGTCATCACAGATATACAAAGATTTACCAATTCAAATATATCAATCTTATTCCCTATATCTAATCTTGACCCAAACCCTTGTACAAGATTCGTTATCATGACGGAGATAACTTTGGTTTTCCCTGCCTTACTAGCTCGACGTGCTTCACGCAGCTATGTAGACTTACTGCGACCACATTTTGATTTGTAAGTAAGTTCACTTGTTTTCTAAACAAAATTTCTCTTTGTTTGTTTAAGCCTATGATTGTTTTGGTTGATCTCATTCAATTTTCAACATTAGTTATATACCGGAATTTTTTATTGTACAATAATTTTTATACAGAAATGCAATGCTGAGAATCTAAGAAAACTCTACGCCCCAGGAAGAGAGTGAGGTTGAGGCAGACCATCTATCTAACAGCAAATTTCATTCTTCTTATAACAGTTGTGTTGTAGAGAGGGCCTGGAGACTGCAATGTTCTCAGTTTAACGTTCATGAAATGCCAATCAAATATTTATAGAGAAAGAAGTTTTAAATCCTTTTCATTTATTTCACGTATGATTCTTGCTTATGGAATTTCAAATCAAGCTAATTAACAAGGTTTTAAACTTTGGATTCGTATCGCCTGATGGAACAAAATTTCAGCCGTGCACTTGAATGAATCAGGGTGGCCCAGTGGTTAAAGTTCAGAGTACCAAGATTGGAGCAGAGAGGCGCGGGTTCGATCCCAGCTCTGTGCGCCAGTTTCTGGTCAGAATCGGCAAGGAGGCCGGGCGGTTAAGCACAGCAAAAATTGTAGCAGTGAGTTGCGAGTTCGAGACCGCAAAATGCTGTGAATGTTCTGCGATGTCAAGAATCGGCGACAGGCCAACGGCCTAATAAACGCTGAAACCGCTATTATTATTATTTATATTTATTAATCGACTTTTTTATTGAGCGATCAGTACCTCGTCATAAACAAGTCTTATCACAAAGATTTATGAGGGTTGTATTTTCTCATGGTTTGTTTTATGTATGCTGTGAAAATATGGCCGCTAAATCTACCAGAATTTACGAACTCAATTCCTGGTATACCACAATTCCACATGCGCAGTATGTAAAGCAGCACCTGAAGTTTTATTGGAAAATGGTAATGTAATTTATATGTTAGTAAATAAATTGTTCATTGTTGATTTGCAGAATATATATAGTCTCGATTATAGATTTTGAGTTACTCTCATTTTTGAAAATGCTTTGCTATTGTATCTTTTGCTGGCATATACAGATAGAAAATCTTCTTTCATTTACGATCGCATCATTTATAAAGTATTTTTCTTTTTCATTAACAATCAACAATAGTTGTCAGAAGCTCTTAACACGTTGCACCAAGCGAAGAAGCATTACCCATAAATCGCGCTGTTTAGGAGCCTTAATAAATCACTAATAAATTACCCGTCGTTTTATTACACCCCTGTACATGAAGCTGGAATTCCGCTGCTAGTTCACATAAATCTTAACATGTCATATTTGATTAATAGAAATGTATTTAAAAAATAAACTGCATGACAATCTTCAACTTTCAGAAATTCAACGTACATTAAATTCAAAATGAACTGAAAAGTGCATTCCTTAGAATTTTTAACGGTTTTGCGGCAACTCTTGAAATTATGCGAGAGAAAAATCTTATGAGGATTCATTTGCAATTCGTCCATATGAAAAACAAAAATAGGATAGCGAATTTCTAAAGAAATTG